GAAAAGTATCCCGAAGCACGTGACGCTAAGATGCCGGTCAGTGAGCGGCCTTGGGTGGGGTCTCGGCCTGGCGTGCCGTGGGGACCATGCGGATGACACCAGCCGTCTGCCTCAGAGGATGCCAGCAGGCCACGGTTTTACTGGCACTGACTTACTTTCACTAGAGCTTGGGGTATTTGTTTGCTAGGGCTGCAGTAACAGCGTGCCACAGCTTAAACTGGATGGTTTAAACAACAGAAATGATTTTCCCTAGAACCGTGCGATCGAGGTGTCGGCGGGTTTGGTCTCTCCTGAGGCCTCTCTCCTTGACTCGCAGCTGCTGCCCTCTCGCCGGGGCCTCACGTGGTCTTTTCCTCTGTGTGCACGCATCCCTGGTGTGTCTCTCTGTGGGTCTAGATTTCCTCCTCTTATAAGATTGCATGAGGGCCCACCCTAATGACCTCATTTTAACTTAGTGACTCCTTTGAAGACAGTCTCTCTGAATACTCAGTCTGAGGTACTGTGGGTTGGGACCTCAACATATGAATTTGGGAAAGGACACAATTTAGCCCTTAATACCTGGGTACCATGCAACCCTCTTAGGACCAATGGCATCGCTGAGGGATCAACAGTGATAAACGGCCTTTTGTGGCATCTGCAGCCAGCATTCTGAGCAGCTGCTGGGTTCACCCTGCCTCAGGCCTGGTCCTGGCTAAGCTCTGGTGCACAGATGCCCCGCCAGCCACAGGAGAGCAACCTAAGGCTGGGAGTGAGACCTCAAGACCCCCGAGGGGTTGCTTTGGGCCTTCGAGACTCATCCCGATTCAATTAGCCTCTCTGTCCAGGCTCTTGTATCTCTCACCTGAGCTTTGAACCCCCTACTCAGAGCCCTTCCTGCCTCCTGTCTTGGCAGTGCATTCCCACATACTGCTCCCAAATGCAGCTCTCATCCTGTCTCTCCCCATATTTAAGCTTCCACTGGCTCCGCAGTGCCTTGTCCTCTATCAGTTCTCCGCTGCCTTCCTGGCTACTCGCCTCCCTGAAGTCACACCAGACTCCAAGGAGTCGCTGGAAAAGCCACGATGGTCCACCCCTGGCCAGCTCATCAGGAGTCTCGTCCCTTCTTGGGCCCTGCTCGTGCCCCTCCGGCTCAGCTGAGCTCCCCTCCTGAGGGCTCCCCTGCCACTGTGTTGCCTGGATGCGTTAATGTGTTCCTGCAACGTCTGTGCCAAAGTGGAGCTAAAGATGGGACATGTTGTGAGAAGGCACGCAGGTAAAAGCCTTCACAACAGCCCTTTGAGACAAAGGCTCAGACAGAGCAGTTCCGGCATCTTGCACTTGGTTTCTCTTTATTCTTCTCCTTCACTGACGTGCACCCAGTTCACCATCTTGAAGCAGAAGAGCACTGGGTGAGGGCTTAAGGACCACCACCTCCAGGAGGGTTTCCATCCTTGTCTCAGTTGTACTGTTTCTGAAACCTGCCCCTCCTATTGTCGGTATCAGCACTTTCGTTTTTCTGTTGTGTACACATTTTTTATATAATAAGAGCAAAATGCAATAAAGACTGATTTTTTTTAACTTTTTTTTAAATAATGGAAGCCTTTCCATTATTCTGATGTTATCTAAAAGCCCAGTAAGTTACCCAGATTAATGTGAGGCCGTGGGGCACCTCCCTGGAGCAGCCCCCACAACCCACCCCTACTGCTGTGCAGCTGGAATTTGACACAGGCAACAGCCTCCTGGCAGAACTTGAGATGTTCTGAGCTGGTGGAGTGGGGGGTGAGCGGACAGTGACAGTGGTCAGGACTCTGGCAGTTCGTGATGGAAACTTGGCTCAAGTGAGCTCCTGCAGAACCAAGACTCGAGTGGCTCCCATCCAGGGGAGGCAGGGGTAGAGTGGTCTCAGGGCCAGCCGCAGCCAGGGGACTCTCCACCCTGGTGACTCTACACAGCTCCCAGCTCCCGAGCTCCCAGCTCTGGGACCAGAGGTCCCTTGTGCCGAAGCAGAAGCTGGGCCTGTGTGTGTAGCAGGTGGGGTCTGACTGCCACCTGACTTTTCCACCATGACCACAGGCTTAAGGGGCATCTTCTGAAAGAAGGGGGTTTCTGTGCAGATGGAAGACCACAAATGGCCGATTCAGTGTTTTGCAAACTTCAGTAAGTCTCACAATAAGAAATCTATTTTAAATTGCATCCCTGTATATAAAGTCACAGAAGTTTCTATAAAATGATGCCTAACTCTACCACACACACCATTATTTATCTTTAATTTAATTCTGGAATACAGGGAGAGCCCCCAAAGTCTTAGTGTAGTTTTAAGTCTCAATAACTTAAGAAAGTGCAAATGCTACGAACCTCCAAAACACGTCAGTGGAGTATTTACTTATTTAAATTCCTTTTATACTTAGTTTCCTGACATCTGAATGCTGTTTGTCATTTTAAGTCTCTGTGTGTGCCAGAATCCAGACAGACAGACAGACGGGTAGAGGAGTCCTCCCCAGTGGGCACCTCAGACACCTGGTCGACCTCCCTTGAGGCCTCATCCAAACTGTCATGTGTGCATCCAATCCTCGTAAGATCACAAGGATGGAATCACAAAGGCAGTCCCTTCAGTCACTGACCATCCGCCCATGAATGTTTTTTTCAAAGTCTGAAAAAGCAACTCTAGCCACTGGACAGTGGTCATCTACGCATTTGAGTAAGAAACGTCAATATATTTAAATTGAAATAATTAACCTTTCAGACATCTTTTTTTGGCACGTTTGTAGCATGAATGACCTGAAGTTATTAAATCTTAAAACCGCACTAAGACTTTGGCTGCACATTTAAAAATTACTAGTAGCAACCTGTAAATTGCTTTCCTGACCCACCAATGAGTCACAGCCAGTTTGAAAAACACCACACTTTAAAGGTCAAGTGCAAACTCCAAATGTAGACCAAGCCACTCCCCAGGGGGCTGTTGGCAGGTCAACGGCGCAGCGTCCCTTTGGGAGAAGGGGTCTGCCTCGGCTGTTTAAGTTCCCGCCCTGGGGGCAGTTATCTGGGTGCATGTCTCTCCTACTGGACCGCGAGTTCCTTCACGAAGGGACTGTGCTTGGGGTTTTTTGTTGTTGCTGTTGTTTTTCACACGTGCAGTATAAAACATTTCACCCAGTGATATTTGGGTGGATACGTCCACCAAAGAGGTTTAACTATGATATAACTTGACTACCTGGATAAGCATTTAGCTGTTTCCAGTTTTGTCTTGTTTTCTGCTGCACCCAATCAGAGTCATTGTATAAAAACCCCGATCGATGGTTTTCCAGTCCAGAGCTGATCCCTAGAAGTGGGTTTGCCGAGTCGAAAGCGGGTCTCCTTTGCCTGTGTCCGGCAGACGCCTGTCCACCCTCACAGCCACAGGGGTCCTCGGCTGGGCAGAATCCGGGAGGCACTGACCAGCGCCCGGGGCAGCGTGACTCCCGCTTGGATGATGCTGAACTAGATGCGAACCACCAAGTGGAGAAGAGCCAGCCACTGCCTCCCACCCTGGTCCTCTCAGGGGCATTTTGCGGGGTCCAAAGAGAGACAAAGTCACAACAAGACACTCAAGGCCTTTTAGGTTTGCCACTTATGACCGGCTGGTGGAAACTGTTTGCAAACTTTGCCTCCCAGCTTCGCTCGCTCGGTTTTGCTGGGGAGCCTGTGCGCCCACACACCCCGCTCACCCTCCAGCATTCCTGCAAGTTGAAGTCACTCCTTCCTTCCACCAAGGCCATCCCGGGACGTTCCTCCCAGCCTTCTGTTTATTTCATCCATGGGAGAGAATCAGGCTGAGGGAGGAGGAGCTCCAATTTTGGGAAAAAGGACACTGAAATGGTTAGGGCTGGGAACGGTATTAGAGGAAGCAGAGATGGAACCTGTGACGGCAAATGCAGCTTCTCTGTGACGCCCGGCCCTGCCCGGGTCCCAGAGACCCTGCCAGCTTTTGTCTCCTGGTTTTTGTTCTGCTCAGTCTAGCGGTGGGTGGGAGGACCCAGGCCACTTATCAAAGGGGCATCCAGAACCTCTGACCAGCACCCATCTGGAAAAGGCAGAGGGACTGAGGTGAAAGGTCAGAAACACAGTTCCTCGGCCCAGAGTCTCCCCCATCATCTTGGCCGACCAGCACTTGTGTTGACATCATGGTTCTACCTGCCGTCGATCGTGGTCCCCATCCAGGGCCTCCCGGCCACGCTCGAAGGACAGTGCTGGTGCCGTGTGTGGTCAGCCTGGCCCTGGGTGGCCCTTTCCTCTCCCCCCCAACATGCTATCCACTGCTGCCCCACCTCTCCGAGGCTGTCACCTGCTTCCAGTCTCTACACACGTCTCTCCTAAGCACAGGCCCAGGGGTCGGGTCACTTTTACGGAGGGGGTCAGACACCGAAAGACACTATCAAAGAGTAATTCGGGTGCCCAGGCACTGACCCCTCTCCTTGTCTTACAGGAAGAGGAGCAGGGGCTGGACAGCGAGGAAGGTCCACCCCAGGCAGAGCCTGAGGAAGAAGACGGTGAGTGGGACCCAGGCCCCAGGCCGCACATCGCCGCCCACCCACTGAGGCCAGCCTTATCTGGCTGTGGGGGCCGGGCTCGCTGTGGTCCCTTGGGATTCTCCAGCTGAGGATTTGAGTGGCTGGGTGGGGGGAGTGGATGGCAGGTGAGAGGATGGGGCAGAGGGGCTGAGAAGTCAGGTCCAGTGGGACCCCAAGGATGCCTAGGCCAGAGCCCACTCCCCTCAACCCTCTGCCTTCCTGCACCCATCTCCCTGCCCACCTGCTTTGCTCTTCCAGCCCTCACTTTTCCATCTATAGAAGGTGAGTTGTCTCCAAATACAGGGGGCCCATCACTGACCTATTTCCTACGATGCCTCTTAACTTCCTTCTCATTCCCGCTTTGTACATTTCACGTTTCTCTCCAAATCTCTCTGGCCTATTTTATGGCGACTAAAGCCAGTCACAGGGCCAGTCCCCAGGGTTCTGCAGAATAAGGCCCCAGGAGGGGAAGCACTTGATTCCCAAGCAGCTGTGGCTAAACTGGCCAGACCTCTGCGGCCATCAGACTCCAGGAGGCCAGGCAAAGAGAAAGGGAGTGACCGAGAGCAGTGAGGAAACGGGCCAGTTGGGCTTGCCCAGGCGGATGGTGGTGTGTTTGCCCTGGACGCCCGTGGGGACCAGCACCCCAGACAGACAGAACCAAACACAGTGTAGGGGTTCTGCTGGATCTGTCCTGTTTTCTTTCTTTTTCAAAAAAAAGAAGCTGAAGCTAAAAGAGCAAAATGTCGACACTTGTCAAATCTATATGGCAAGGACACAGAGGACTTATTACTTGCTGTACTTTTGTGTATGTTTGAACTATTTCATGCCTTTTTTAAAAAAAGTGAGACTGTTGCTGTGACTTTAAGTCAACAGCTGGCAGGAGCTGTGGAAAGCGAGGGTTGCAGGAATGCCGTAACCAAGGCTGGCGTGGGCCAGGCCAGCAGGGCCAGGCTCGGGGGATGCAGAGCTTCCCCTGAGGCCCAGCAGGGATGGGCTGTGGGTTTCTATCAATGCAGCCTTACAGGAAGGAGGAGGGGCAGGAAGCCGGTTAGGGGGGAGTTGGCGGGAGGTGGAGGTGGACATCAGCCCTTTATCAGGGTCTCTTCCCCCAGCTGTTGGTTCTCCTGGATCGTCTGTAGGACCCGTGGCCCTAAGGTCTGTCCCCGCCACGTTATTTGTGATTTGGGGACACAGAAGGCAAAAGCTAAGGCTGCTGGAGGCCCCTGGGCCAGCACAAAGGAGCCTCAGCTGACCACTCTCCTGAAACGCCATCAGACCCACAGACATGCAGCCCCACGCCCAGCTGTGTGCGACGGCACTGGGCCCTGCCTCCTTATCAAAGACGGCTGCTCCTGGACCTCCGCCACCCCCCAGCCACCTCCTGCCAGCCCTGACGAGGCGGAGGCAGGAGAGGTTTATGGCTCCAGCTGTCAGAAGAACACAGCATTGGGCCCCCAGCCCCACTGCAGGGACCCCCCCACCTCCGCTCAGCTCACTAATTGATTAGTGTTTGCTAAGATGCCTTCCCTAAGCGACTGCGCGGATCACGTAAGACTGCAAGATCAAGTCCCCCTCTGGGGGGCTCTCATGCCAAACCCGCCTGGTCCAGTAAAACTGGATGCAGCTGTGTATCTCTGGGTACACCATATGCGATTAAGGGAAAGCCTTTTCAAGGCGTTCGTCCTCTCTTGCTCAGAGAAACATAAAACTAAAAAAGGCCCGCCCACAAATTGAAACCTTGAGTAGTACCCAGCTGGCAGCATTTTTCTGTTTTATTTTCCTAAAACATAGCAACATGATGACCTTGGTGTCCAGGTTAATCGGTTTTCCTTGTCCGTTGCCTCTTTCTGAGGTCCAGAAGCCGGCATGGTTGCAAGCTCGTTCTGAGACTAGCTCTGCATGGTTCTAACCCCACGGCAGGCTGTTTCCTAACATCCAAAGACCCAGGCCCCGAATTACTCAGCAGGGTTACCAGATCCCTGGAAGCAGGTGGTTTGAGCCCCAAGCTGTGAGAAGCCCTGGTTCTGCTGGCTCTTTGCTCATCAGTCTGAGGTGAACTCAGCCTGGAGGAAAGAGCAGCTAATGGGAGTGGGGTCTCCAGGGAGCAGTCGGGTGATGGATTCACCCTGTCTCTGCACCGAGCCCCGTCTCACTGGGAGGAAGAACCAAGGCCTCCCTTGGTGGCCTGGCCCCTTATCCCAACTTCCCCTGCATTCTCCCGTCCCCTCGCTCCCTGCCACCCTCGCTGGCCTCCCTGCTTTGCTGGATCTCCCCAGACCTGCAGCCTCCCTTTCTGCAAAGCACTTTCTGACACCCACCTTCCCCAATGAGTTAAACTTCCAAGCAGTCCCCTCCCCGCCTCCCTCTCCCCTCCTGCTGTCCGTTTCTGAAGAGCTCTCATGACCTACTGCAAACTCAATTTTTAAAAACAATTTTTTAATGGAGGGACTGGGGATTGAACCCAAGATCTCATGCATGCTATAAGCACGTGCTCTGCCACCAAGCTACGCCCACCTCCTCATCCCCCACCCTGCAAACTCTGTATTTTAATGACCCATCTTTGCTTGCTGTATGTTTTCTTCCCTGCTAAGTCCCCAGCACCGAGCAGAGTGCTCACTAAATATCTGTCGAATGAATGGAGAGCAAATTCATCCTTGTACAAACGCGGTAACTGCTCCCTAAGGCGAGGGCTCAGCCCCGGCAGCCAGGTCCTCCTGCCCAGCAGGTTGTGGTGAGAACAGCTCCCTTACCTGCTATGACATGATGTTTGGGTCCTGAATTTGCATCCAGAACCTTCTTCCCTTAGCCCAGACAGAACCCGAATCCCAGAGGCTGGAGCCTTTGCCTCCCCCGAGCCCACATCAGCCTATCTGATCCCTTGTGACAGCTGCCAGCTGGAGGAGGTTGGGATGGCCGGGGGCAGGATGCGAGGTGTCTGAGATCCCTGACATTGAGGTGACACAGAACAGAACTGAAAAAGAATACACATGGTCTCTGCGTTTCCCTTAATCACTTATTTACACGTTAACGGAAATTAGATAAGACAAACCACTCAGACTCTGTCCCTGAGGCTGGCCAGAGGCCATCTATCCTACACCTGCTGGGCTGAAGGACCACGTAAGGGCATTGCTTCCCAGAGGAACTCTCCACTGGGACACTCAGCCTAGGGAAAGCTCCAGAGCTCTTTCCTGTCTGCCCTTGCAGCTTGCACCTGTGTGTGCTGCCGCCCTCTGGCCTGTGTGCCCAGCACCTGCCTTCACTCCATGTCACACGTCCCTATTTCCCCTGGTTCAAACCCCCTGCTGTGCCCTCTTCAGGCCTCCAGAGCTGCCCTTTTGTTTGATCCCAGGTAGCTCCCGGATCAGCTCTGGGATTGGAAGATCAGGACACACCTATTCAGTAATAAGTACTGGTTTTAAAGACTGATTGAAACACAGTATGACTGATCCCACATTACTCCCGTCTCCCATTGTGGGCTGGGTGTGTTGTTTCAGATTTCTAATAACAGAGGGAGGGGGCATAGAACTGGCCTGCCAGCATGACACCCCTGGATGGCAGGGTGGGCACCCCCAAGCTGGGAGACTGGAGGACCTCAGGTTGGGGTTCCTGAGGCCCTAAGGTGGGGGGAATGAGGGGAGAAGAAGGGCCAGCTTCCCTCCAGCGCTCTCATCCCCTTTTCAAGTTTTTAAAAAGAGTTCCTAAGTTGCTCTGGGATTTCCCGTAAAGGATGGGGGTGGGGGGTGGGGTGACCTGCCAGGCGCAGGCAAGGATGAGCAGATGTCTTGGAGTCCGGGCCTCTCTGAGGCTGGCGCAGCACCTGAACTGGCCCCCGGTGGGCGTGGGGCCCATCTGCCCTCTTTGAAGAGGGGGGGCTCTCTCCCGCCAGCCTAGATGGTCCCTTGGAAACTAAGGAAGGGAAAGGGGACTCAGAAGTTGAGACGGGCCCAGCACCCTAACCAGCTCTTACTGAGTGTCCTCTCTGCAGGGGCAGAGGCCTTCTCCTTCAAATACAGCCCCGGGAAGCTGCGGGGAAACCAGTACAAGAAGATGATGACCAAAGAGGAGCTGGAGGAGGAACAGAGGTAGGCTGCCTCGCCCTCCTCAGGGCTGCTCCAGGGAGCCCCCTTCGTTCAGCGGGAGTGGGCGGGGCAGGGGCGGGCCTCCCGCTAGCCACGCCCCCACCCAGTCTCCCATGTCCGTTTTAGGGTTTTTTTTCCCCTTGCCCTGGCACTGTTTGGCCAGGCTTACTTCCCCTAGACAGGCCCCTGGGGCACTCGGCAGGGAGGTGTGATGGCAGTAGGGGGCGGCCGAGTCCAGTCCTTGCACCTCCCCCACCCCTCCCCCACCAAAAGGGGGAAAAACAGGACGCCCGGAAAGAGCCTGGAGCGGATCCGGCCGTTCACTTACACGTGGAGTTCATGACAAAACCAATCCATCACTCTGGGACAGAGCACGATTCTTCCTGCTCATCCACTTGGCAGTCTACTCCCTCACCCCCACCCCACCCCAGGGCCTGCAGTCATTTTTTATCTGTTCTGCTCCATGAAACCGCACAGCTTCTCAATTTTAGAATTGGGCTCTTCCCCGCCAGCCCCCAGTGGACACTCACGCGCAGGCATGGGCTTCCCTCTGAGTTTCTTGTCCGCTCCATCCCACCAAGGTGACCAAGGGACCGCCAGGACAGGCCATGGGGGAGAGCCAGCGGTCTGAAATGGGCTGGCCTGTGGCCTGCGAGGGTTCCTTTGGTTCCAGCACACATCTAAATAGGAGCCTGTGTTTTCTGAGGCCGGCAACCCAAAGGGGCTGAGTGATCACCCCCCAACTTGCTCGCAGAAGCTGGATTCTGGGTCAGGAATAGAGGGTTTATTATTCCAGGATGCAGATCTCAACCACACTTTCGTCATGGTTTACAAGCCACCCAGTGTCCCTCAAGAGTCAGAAGGTGCTCTTGCCCTCCTGGAGCTATCACTCGTCCTTCCAAACCTGGCCCGGAAGGCTCTTCGCCGGGGCGGGGCAGAGAGGTGGCACTGTGAACCCAGCAGGGGAAGGCAGCCTCCGGGGTGCCCCTCACTCCTCGGTGCTCACAACACTGCCTCTGGGTGTGACGTGGTTTGCTGCCTTTGTATTTCAGGATTGAGCTGACCTCTGACCTCACTTCCCTGTAGCAAGTTCCTTAGGTCCTGAGCCACAAATACTCTTGCAAATCCTTTTGGTAAGGAGATTGACTTCTTAGACTAGTGGTGCCTCCCTCATCCCGTCTGTTAATGTGTCCCCAACACAACTGATGTGGTCTAAACCTCCCTCTTCCACCACCTTCATAACCAATTAATACATCTCTGTGTGCCTGAGCTGGCTCTGTCTTCTTCAGCGCAGGGCTCCTGGGCAAACGGGCCCCTTTTCCTGGGCTGCAGGGTTCTTGGAGGCCCAGTTAGCGCAAGTGCCTCCAGGGCCTAATGGGCCAGCTGGGTGGAGGCTAGCGCCCCCTCGTGAGGCTGGGGAGGAACTGTCATCGCTGGGACTGCAGGAGCTTCGGGAACACATGTGATGTGCCCCTGCACCTCTAGTCCTACCCTATGGAAGTGGACCGGTGCCCGGCAGAAACCCTGTGCTGCCAGGTTGTGGTCAGGCAGGTTGTTCTCATCAGAACAAACAAGGTCTGCAGGCTCCGCCCTGGTTTTGTACGTCCAGTATTACTGGAAGACGGCTGCGTTCATATGTTTTTCTGTGGTCTGTGGTGGCTTTCGCACTGCAGTGGCTGAGCTGAGTAGTTGCACCAGGGACCACATAGCCCACAAAGCATACAAGAGTCAGTATCTGGCCCTTTCCAGAGAATGTTTGCAGCCCCTGCATTAAGGATGGGGAGGGCTGCACGTGCCTGTGGTCCTTCGAAGGTCCCTGTGGACATAGGCTGCGGCCAGGACCCTGGCCTTATTCTCTGTGCTCAGGGAGACATGCACTGTGGATGTGAGGGGCCATTAGGATAGGAAAGACCAGTTAGCAGGCCAGATGGTAGGGCTTGGGCTGGGGTCAGAGGGCCACCATCGCTGGGTTCAGAGCTGGGGCCTTGGGGATGAGAGAGAGAAAGTCCTATCTCACTTGTGCTCAGACAGCTGGCCTGACTCTGCATTGCCCCGGAGGGTCTTTCCCTATTGGATCTTTGGGGCGTCCCCAAATGATTCACACTGTGCAGTTCTGTGGGGTTGAGACTGCCCAAGTGCTAGTCTTGGGGAATGGCATTCTCATCCCTTCATGTGCAGGCCTGGTTATCAGTCGTGCCCGAGCTGAGAAGGAGGGACTTCATGGCCCCCGAACACGGTCCTCCCAGGGTGGGGCTGGAGTTCATGTTCATGTTCATTACCACCCCTCCCAGCATGCTCCCCGGAGCTGTCCGACTGGTCTGCCTGTGAGGTCCACTTGTTCCCTCCTGCCCCTGCATGTGGGCAGCCCACTCAGCACCGCACGGGGCCCCTGATGCCCACCCTTCTCGCATGTTCCTCGCATGGTGATGCTTGGGGTTGCAGAGGCTGGCAAGTGTGGCTTTATCTTTTCAACTGCGGCATGACGGTTCCTGTGGGGACCGGGAGAGCTGATGGGTATAAGACAGCTCCAGTCCCAGCTGAGTTCCGGAAACTGCCTTGGAATAGTCAGTATGAAAAATACTGTCAACCCACTAAAACCACAGGCCAGTGAAAAGCGTGTGCTCTCGCCTGTCACATTCTTCCTGGCCAAACCCTGCCTGTTTCTAATTCCTTTCCTGGCATTCAGGGTCCCAGTCAAGTTGTAAGCTGGTTAAAAATCCATGCTGCAAAGTCTTGATTGTAAATGTATTAATTTGGCCAGTGTAGCAGTATCTAGACCCTAAAGCTTCAGTGGTCACAAGATCCAGCATTCCGCAAAAGCTGCAGTTCACAAGTTTTCACGGCTTGGCACTTAGGAAGCAGGACCCAGAGCAAGAGACCTCAAATTTGTTCCTCCATGTAGTTCATAATTGGGCATTCCTATGCTCAGAGCTGCGTACATATGAAGGCAGAAAGCGTAAGGTTTGTAAATCCAGAGGCGGCTGTTGCTTAAGAAAGACCCTGCTTTGTCACTGTCTGCCCACCTCCTGCTGGGTCTCCCCTGGGGCTGGGGCTCACGGGCTACCTTGCTGTTGCCTCTGCCTGGCTAGGGGAGCCCCTGGGTTCCCCCCGCAGCTCTTCCGGGAGGTGCCACCTTCAGGCTCAGTGTGGCTGGGACGATGGGCTGGCAGGTACTGAATGCTCCCCCCACAGCAAGATGCCACCCCCTCACCCCCAGGGCTTGTGAAGCTGGGGAGCTTGGCTGGCTTCTAGCTCGGCAGCAAAAAGAAAAAGCACCATCTGTTCTTCGCATCTTTTCCAGGGGAAAAGTGGAACCCAGGTAGTAGACCAGGCTGGCTCTGAAAGCGAGGACTCGGGACCCAGCACCCATGCCATTTTGAAGGTCCCCCAGAACTGGCTTGACCATTCTGGAAGTGGAACCACTCTAGTGAGTGGTGTTTTGAAATGAGTACCTGGCGCGGGTGACGGGATATTCCACTTTCTGGGTCCTGATGTGTCCATGAACCATCCAGCAGTGTGTTTCTAAAACCTGTGCTGACTCACCTCCACATGAGGGCGCCAGAGGAATAAAATTGGATCCCCTGGGTTCCTTCAGCAATCACTTTTGGGTGGATGAAACAGTGCCTCATGTGTGTCTTGGAAAAGGTGGGCGCAAAATTGTCCTCATCTGGGGAGGACATAACCTAGGAAGCTACTGTCCCCAGAAAGGACAATTGAGCCAGCAGAGATAAAACATAATCTATAGTGACAGGACGAGACCAGTGTACCACAGAGCTAAGGACACACCTGCAGCAGTTCTGAACTGTCTGCCCACCTGCAAGTGGCCCTCAAGCTGCTCAACCACCCACATGTGACACTCAGATTGCCCAAATACCTAAACAAGGGACCCTCCCTGCTCAACTACCTACAAGTGAAACCCTCCCTGTTTACCTACTTGTGGGTCTCAATCTGCTCAACCACCAACATATGAGACCCAAACTAATCACACAGCTATAAGTGGGGCCCTCCCTGCCCAGATAACTCGAAGTGGACCCCCAACCTGCCCAGTTACCTACACTTGGGCCCCCTCACTCTCCAACAACCTAGAAGTGGGGACCCCAGCCCAAATACCCACAAGTAGGCTGTGACCTGCTCAAATACCCACATGTGACATCCGAATTTCCCAAATATCTAAGTGAGAGACCCTCCCTGCCCAACTACCTACAATTGGACCCCCACTCCCTTCTCAGCTACCTACCATTGGACCCCCACTCCCTTCTCAATTACCTATAATTGGACCCCTACTCCCTTCTCAACTACCTACAATTGGGCCCCCCCTTGCTCCAGTACCTACAAGTGGGACCCTCCCTGCCCGATTACCTACAAATGGGCCTCCTCCCTGCTCAACTGCCTACAACTGGGCCCCCTCCCTGCCCAACTACCTACAACTGGGCCCCCACTCCCTTCTCAGCTACCTACAATTGGACCCCCACTCCCTTCTCAATTACCTACAATTGGACCCCCACTCCCTTCTCAGCTACCTACAATTGGGCCCCCCTTGCTCCAGTACCTACAGGTGGGACCCTCCCTGCTCAACTACCAGCAGCTGGGATCCTCCCCACCCAAATACCCACAACTGGGCTTCGACCTGCTCAAATACCCACATGTGACACCCGTATTTCCCAAAGACTGAAATGAGGGACCCTCCCTGCCCAACTACCTACAAGTGGACCCCTGACCTGTCCAACTACCTAATTGAGGACCCCCTCTGCCACCTACCTACGGGGGGGCTGGAACCTGGTCGACTACTCACATGAACCACCCAAATACACGCCTGTGGGACGCGACTTGCTCCACTCCCTAAATGTGGAAGCCTACAGGAGGGACCCACCCTGCAAACGGCCTACAAGTGCAATCCAGCCTGCCCAGCCTACTGCAAGATGAGCCCCTCTGCCTAACTGCACATGTGTGGGGCCTGACCTGACTACCTACAGGCCTTGCAGAGTGGGAACGGGTCTCGGGCTGGCTTTGGTTAATGGACTGTCCTGCTGCCAGCCAGGAGAGTCTGGATCCCAGCGTCCGGGCTGGCTTCTGCAATTCCAAACGTTCCCCTTCCGCACCCTGTTTCCCCCTTTCCTTTCCTGCGGTACTTGTAAGATGGCATGAGTGAAGTAAATTATCTTTTCCCCCTATTTCTCTTCAC